GGGCGCAGGGACGGGGGAGGAAGCGGGTCCGCCGCTGCCGGGCGCACGGTCACGCCGGGCCCTTCCCGTCCTTTTCTCCTAGTGCCACTGCCGGCTAAGAGAGGGACACAAATGGCACCCCCTGAACTGCCAGGAAGGTCTGCTGGGTGTCACACTGCGGCTTTAAGCATCCAACGGAGAGTCGTCTATTTAGCCACTTGCCTGGACAGGGCCTGGCCGCGAGGCGCATACTTTCCATCATTTCTGCTCTAAAGACTGGATGGAGTTACCTCTCTGAGCAGGTGACACTGGACCAGGGGGAGGAGTGGCAACACAGAAGAGCTCACCAGGCGGTGGGAGCAGCATGTGCCAAGGTCCTGGGGCAGGACCAAGTTTGGTTTAACTGAGAATCTGCAAAGAATGTGGATCTTCGGTGGAGTAACCAAGGGACAGGGTGGCAGGTCAATACAGGAGGAGGCTATGTTTGGATCTGGGGTTTAATCTGTAAATGGGCTGCAGTTCCTGGACGGTTTAAGCAGCAGCTGCTACCAAGGATGGAGAGATCAGAAGTGGAAAGGGTTGGATTTCCTGGAAGGTTGGCTGAGAAGCCGAAGGCATCCAGGAAGACTCCCTGGCTGAGGGAGCCCCAGCCATCCGGGTGGGTGGGGCAAGGGAGGGCAGAAGAGGAAGCAGGCCGAGACTGTCCTGTGCACCCACCCTGGGGCACCTGCCTGCCTGTGGCCTGACCAGCAGGGGCGGAGCCTCCCCCTGGGGGTCTGAGCGGTCACCTGTGTCCTCTTATTGCTCGCCGGGGAGCAGCTCCAGCAAAGTGACCCCTTCACTATCTGGGTCTGAGTGTGCCCCGCCGGGCCCCTGCCCTGTCCCCCCTCCCTCCCCAGCCTGCTCTCTGTGCCCTCCTGCCCCCTGGGGTTTGTCAGGAGGACTGGGGGTGCGGCAGGGATGCTGGTGGGGGCAGCAGAGCCATCTCCCGGAGCCAGCTTAGGCGCTGCCTCCTCTAGGAAGCCTGGGACCGGTGTCCTGGATGGTGTGGGCACACGAAGGATGGGCTTTTCCCACTCCAGGCAATGGGAGGCAAAAGAGGGAGAGGCCTGGACTGGGTGTGGTGTGGCTGGGCCACTTAGTGTCACAGGACAAAAATGAGCCTCCCTCAGGCTGGCTGAGACTGGAGGCTGAGTCAGGATCCTCTCTGCAGAAGGCATTCAGGGCAAGGGCGAGGCGACAGTATGTCTGAGGTCAGGGTAGGACTGGGGGTCACAAGCACCCTGAGGAGGCCCAGCCGGTATCCTAGGGGTGAACCCAGGGCTGAGATTTTTTCATATCAGGCCAGGTTGGGGCTGGGGATCCCATGGACCCTGCCCACTGCATGGGGACAGTGCCTGCTCCCCACCTCCCAGCCTGCCTAGGGGACCTTTCTGAAATCTTCATAGCCAGTCACCCCGACGCTGACACGGGGGACCCAGGATGGGCCACCTACTTTATTTTGAGCACACACACAGCAGGGGTGTTTGAAGCCACCAACAATACCAGCGTTTGGGTCTCAGCCATTGGGAGACAGGGCTTTGGGTGAGGGAGGAGCCTTTGGGGCCACCCAGTGTGACTTCTCAGGTATTTGGAAGGAAACAGAACATGATTAAAAACGGAAAACGCCCCGTCCCCTGTTAGGGAGCAAGCAGCCGCTGTCTGTGTGCACCTGCGCCCAGGTGTGGGCTCCGACCAGGTACCGAGGGGCAGGAGGCCCCGGCGTGGTTCACACCAGCCCCCCCCCATCCTGCCGGCCCCGCTTTCTGTCACACGCGCCTTCCTCGGCCTTGGTCTCACGCGGCCTCTTCCGGAAGCGGGGCCGGGGCGACAGGGGTTCCATGCCGAGGACCTTGTGGATCTGCCGGAAGGCCACCATGCGCAGGGCGTGCTGTGGGTGACGGGGCCCCATCAGGAAGCTCTGCCGGTCCCCGCAGATGGGACACGAGATGCGGGGCCCACGGCGGTGCCCTAGGACCAGCCCCGTCCCGTGCTTTGTTGAACTGCTAGGCTCCAGCTGAGGCCGGGGCCGGGGTGGATCATGGACGATGACAGGCAGGGGCTGGCTTAAGAGCCCCCAGAATGCTGGCTCTTCCCACCTCACTGCAGGGCTCCAGATCCTGCCTGCCAGTGACTCAGCTCCTCCCATGAAAGTGGGACCCTGTGTCATTTTTTTTTTGTTTGTTTGTTTTTTTGGTGGTACTGGAGATGGAACCCAAGGCCTTCACACTGAGCTCCATTCCCCACCCCTTTTTATTTTATTTTTTAAATTTTGAGGCAGGATCTCATTAAGTCACCCAAGCTGGGCTCAAACTGGAGATCCTCCCGCCTCAGCCTCCCAGGCATGTGCAACCGTGGCAGGCTCAGCTTTTTCTTATGAAATCTTTCCAAAGGGGGAAACTGTGGCTGGTGCTCGGAGTTGATGGACTGTTCTACAGGTGGGGGGCCTAGCACGGTTACGGCCAGCAGGACCCAAAGTCTAGTCCTTATCCCTGTGGCAGCCACAGTTCTGAGTGGCCAGCCCCATGAGCAGTCCTGCTGTCCCTTACCTGGGCGCTGGCCGTCACATCCTCCCGCTCCTGCTCCGTCATGGAGTCGAGTGCGTCCATCTGGTCTTTCTCGCAGGGATCTTGGATCCCAGGTCCGTCTTTTCGAGGAGGAAGCAGGGACAGCAAGGGAGCAAGGTCACCATCATGAGGGTCTGCTGGTGTCACAGGCCGCTGCGCCATGCCGTGAACCTCTGGGGTCTGAGTCTACTCCCAGGACCCCCTGACCCACAGGCCCGGCCAGGCACACGTGAGTCACACCTGTGCATGTCTGGGCATGAGTGTGTCACCTGACACAACATGATTTTACCCTGTGTGTGCTTTGGGGGGGGGTCTTGGGATTGAATACAAGGCTTCCTCACCTAGCTATATCCCCAGTCCTTTTTTTACTTTTTATTTTGAAACAGAGTCTAAGTTGCTTAGGTGGCCCTTGCTGGGCTTGAACTTGGGATCCTCCTGCCTCAGCCTCCCAGGGTCCTGGGATGAGAGGTGTGTCCTCCTCTCCCCCTTGGCTTCCTCCGTTGTCACCAAAAGCTACGGGAACTGCTCTTTTCAGTGTCCTGTTCCCAACCACTCTGGGCAGCGTGCTGCTGTGGTACAGCCTCCCCAGATTATGAACTGAGGGCTGGATGAGCTATCTGATTGCTGCTTATTTCTTTCGTATTGGTAACAGTGTATTTATTCTAATCCATTTGGATCAGGTATCAGCCGGCCTCCTGATGTAGCAGTCCTGAGGGTGGACCACTTCCTGCTCCTGCCGCAGTTCTCTGGCCCCTGGTGGCCAGGCGGCTCCCTGGCTCTGGCCCTTGCGATCACCGGCTGGTGCTTCCAAAGTGCGCATGCGCAGACTGACCTGCCAGGAGCGTGCCCGTGGCCACACACTCGAGGACCCGCCGCACCGCGTCCCCTGGGCTCAGGGGCCGGGGTGCGCTGCTCAGTGCCTTCTCCACCAGCAGCTCCATGGCCTGGGGAAGGAGGGATACAAGAGGGGACCTGTGCTCTCGGGGACCCCAGCCAGCCCTGGCCCACCCAAAGCAGCTCTATGCAGCTCCGCTGGGCAGGCTCTGATGGGAGGACATCAGAGCTGAGGCCCCTGGAGCCAGGGTCAGGCCAGCTCCCCTCTGATGCCCTGGTCCAGGGGATGGCCACCCATTTGTCTGGTCTCTGGCCTCACCACAAGTTTGAGTTTTAGGTAGTGACAGTCACACAAGGCTGTGGCTAAGGCCTGTCCCAGCCCAGGACCCTCGGGGGCCCTCCCACCCGTACCCACCTGTCTGGGCTGAGGCTCCTATGGTCCTTTCCTTGAGCACTGAGTTCTTGGAAGAGGCACAGCTTTTTGCTTTGTTTTGTTGGAACCCAGGGCCTCTACGATGAGCTCTATCCACAGCGCTATTTTTTTTTTCTTTGAGACAGGGTCTCCCTAAGTTGCCCAGACTGAACTCAAACTTGCCATCTTCCTGCCTCAGCCTCACACAGTGCTGGATAACAGGCCTGTGCCAGTGGTCTAGCTAAGAGATGCTTTTGTTTGGGATGATGACATCTGGCTTCTCAGCATAGCAGAACCTCCCAGGAGTGTTTTTGGGGCCTGAGCACCCTGCAGTGCCTTACCCAGGCTGGCAGGGCCCCCCATGTGGGCACTCGTTGGCGGAGGTCCCGCAGGACCCTGATGACAATCGCACAAGGCTGCAGGTTGCTGGCTCTCGCCTTTTGGGAGGAAGCACATGGTTAGCTCTTGGGAGCCTTAGCTCTGTGGGGTTTGATTTTTCTTTTTTTATTATGAGACAGGATCTTGCTAAGTTGTCCAGGCTGGACTCCAACTTGGGATCCTCCTGCCTCAGCCTCCCAGAGTGTGGGGATGACAGGCATGCGCCACTTCACCCAGCATCACCCACCTTTAGACCAGCAGCCGCTCATGGGGCCCTGTTTGAAGACTTGGCCCACTCTCCCCGTCCCCATCCTCCTACCCTGACCTGGAACCACTTGGCGTGGCGGAGGGCAGCCAGGGACTCCAGGCACTTCTCAGAGCTCAGGATGTCTGGGTCGGGCTGTGCTTCCTCTTTTTCTTCTACAAGGAAGAGTGTAGTGAGCCCCAGGGCTGTGGGGCCACAACAGTCCCGCTCTGCTCCTGCTGCCTCAGTGGGTGGCTTGGGGCCTTGTATTTATCTGGCAGAAAAAAACCTCCCACGAAACCTTTCTCTCCCCCAGAAAGGCCTGTGCTGCGTGGGAGCCAGTTCTCTGGCTTTGGTTCTGCCCCTCCTGGTGAGCCATTTAAACCGAAGGGGTGAAACTACAGATTAGAACCTGGGGTGGTGGAGCCTGGCTGTGATCCCAGCACCCGGGAGGCTGAGGCAGGAGGATCGCCGTGAGTTCGAGACCAGCCTGGGCTACCAAGGGAGACCCTGTCTCAAATGCACCCTGAGTTGTGGGTCCAGTGTGGTGGCACACGTGTGTCATCCCAAGCTACTCAGGAGGCTAAGGAAGGAAGATCTCAAATTTGAGCCCAGCCTGGGCAATTTAGAGAGACTGTGTCCCAAAATAAAAAGCGCTGGGGATGGAGCTCAGTGAGTGGGAAGACCCTGAGTTCCATTCCCAATACTGAAAAACAGACAGACAGACAGACAGACAGAGAGGAAGAGAGGAAAAGATGGAGAGAGGGAGAGAGAGATAGCTCAAGTGTTTGGTTTTGTTGGGGTCACAGTGGTTTTCCTCTGGGGGTGCAAACATAACACACTGCCCTCTGCTGGATATGTGGAGGTGGCACTGATGGGTGCGTGTGGAAGAGGGCTTAAGAAGCCTGCTTGGCAGTGGGCCAGCTCCCGGCTGTGGGTTGGAGAATGTAGGGCATCCCACAAGGATTTGGGGGCTCTTCATCTGTTCAGTCAGGACATGCAGAATTCATTCATTTTATAGCACTGGGATGGAACCCAGGGTCTTTGCAATGATCTACATCCCAGCCTTTTTGTTTTGTTTTGTTTTTTGAGACAGGGTCTCACTATGTAGTTGAGACTGACCTGGCACTCACTATGTAGCCCAGGCTGGTCTTGAAATCACAGCGATCCTCCTGCCTCAGCTTCCCGAGTGCTGGGATTACAGGCGAGAACCACCACACGTGGCCCAGCCTTTTTATTATTTTATTTTGAGGTGGGTTTTTGCTCCATTGCTAAGTTGGCCAGGCTGGCCTTGAAGTTGGCATCCTTCTGCCTCAGCCTCCTATGTAGCTGGATGGCAGGCGTGTACCCTCACATCTGGCTCCCTGCTGTGTTTATTTTTCAGATGACTGTGAATAACACTTGATAGGGCCAGGGATTTAGCTCAGTGGTTCTGGCGACTGCCTCGCAAGCACAAGGACGTGAGTTTGATTCCCAGTACCAAAAAAAAAAAAAAGAAAAAAAAAAGAAAAGAAAACACTTGATAATGGCTTTCCACTTTTGATCATTTTCAGTTTTGAAAGCAAATCGATCGAAAGTCTTCTGGGCCCTCAGCTCTAACTCCCCCCTGAAATTAAAAACAAAAATCACACAGAGAGTTCAAGGATGGCTGTGGTCTGGAAAAACCAGCCTGGAGACGGTTCTAGAAGGTTCCGGAGCTGCGAGTCCAGGGCGCACAGATGCGGCGGCCCCTCTGCCTCCAAGGCCCCCCGAGCCTGTGTCGGTGGTGCGTGGCCCTGGTGACAACGGGACACTGCTCCAGCTGCTAGATGCCACTGCTCCTGTGGGGGTCTCACTCTGTCAGGGGCCACAGAGACCCAGTGCTTTGCCGGCACAAGGGTCGGTCGCTGCGGTGTCCCTGCCCCCACGAGATGGTCCCTGTGGCCTGGCCTCGGGGCTCACCGCTGTCTCTGACTCGCTTCCTCCACTGCCCCAAACCCAGTTCTTCTTTTTTTTTTCTTTTCTTTCATCGTCTAATTTCTACTTTATTCTGAGTTATTTCTCAAATAAGAATAATCTAACCTACTTATTGTTTATATTTATACACGTAAAACACAGCCTGGCAAAAGATTTATGGAATTGACCTTTAAAGCTATTTGCAAATTTCAAATTTAATTCATGTTTTATGCTTTTTTTTTTTTTTTTTGGTTTTTTTTGCACCCTGTGAGTGGCACCGTGGAAGTGTGAAATGGAGGGGCCCGGCCCACCTTGGTCCACAGAGGGGTCCTGTCGCATCAGGGGTGAGGTGATGGACACGGTGACCTGCATCCTGGGCTCCTCACAGGAGGAGATGACAATGCTGGCTTCGGGGTCAGAGGAGACTTCGTACTTGTCATCGGTCACCATCTGGGAGGTGGGGGTGCAACACAAGGTCCCATTACTCCCGTGGAAGTTCACAGGCCTCGGGCGTGTGCAGGGCCACACACGCTCTCTCCTCAGTGCAGCCCTGTGCCAGGAACCACCTGGGACCCTCAGGGACACACATGTAGACATGCAGCTATAAGGGTCTTCCTTATGTAAAGGACACCCGGAAATCAATAAGAACAAGCATGTGGTCCAACGGGGTGGAGGCAAAAGGGCACATGAAATGACAGAAAAAGAAACATAACCCTTTCACCACAGTGACAAGAATTATCCCCAGGATCAGAGAAAGCAAATCAAAACCCATGGAGTGCCAGGCGTGGTGGCACACACCTGTCATCCCAGTTCTCGGGAGGCTGAGGCAGAAGGATCTCTGCGAGTTTAAGTTCAAAGCCAGCCTGAACTGCATAGTGAGACCCTCTCTCAAAAAAAAAAAAAAAAAAAAAAAAAAAGAAAAGAAAAAGAAAAAAAAAAAGAAAGAAAGAAACAAAAACTACGATGGAGCTGGGCACGGTGGCACACACCTGTCATGCCCACACTCTGGGAGGCTGAGGCGGGAGGCTTGTAAGTTCAAGCCCAGCTTGGGCAACTCAGCCACTCAGCAAGACCTTGTCTCAAGGAATAAAAAGGGCTGGGGATGGAGCTCAGTGTGAAGGCCCGGGGTTCCACCCCCAGTACCACAACACAGCAAACACAGTAGAACCGCACTGTGATGAGACACCGTCATCACCGGTGGGCAGCACGAAGGTCCTGAGGCCTCCCCACCCGTGGTCACACTGCCTGCATTCATACCTCTGAAATCTGCCCTTCTCCCAAGCAGGGCTCCCCTGGCAGCTCCATGTACAGCCTGGCAGGGTAACCCCAAGGATCCCACACCACGGCCATGTCATGGGACCCCCGGCTTCCTTCGCTTTGCCACTGGGCCTTCAACTTCTAGAAAGCAGCGCCCCTGTCTTGGCCGTTTTTGCCATCCCCACAGTACCTAGCAGGTGTTTTTGGTTGTTTTTCTTTTTTGCAGTAATGGGGATTGAACCCAGGGCCTTTGCACTGAGCTCTATCCCCAGTCCTTTTTTATTCTTTAAATTTGAGACAAGGTCCTGCTAAATCACTAAGTTGCCCAGGCTGGGTTGGAATTCATGATCCTCCTGCCTCAGCCTCCCAGAGTGCTAGGATTACAGATGTAACACTGTTACTGTTGGCTTAAAAAAACTCTTTTGTTTTTTGAGACAGGGTCTTGCTGTGTAGCTCAGGCCAACCTTGAACTCACTATGCAGCCCAGGCTGGCCCTGAACTCGAAGTGATCCTCCTGACTCAGCCTCTACAGTGCTAGGATTGCAGGCTTGTGCCACCATGCCCAGCTTCTGCCCACTTTTCATTGTGGTTTAATCTCTGTAAGGGTGGCTGTGGTTCTGAAGGCTGGGTGTGACATACATTACTGTCCCCGTGGTGGGACATTTGGACAGTTTCTCAGCTGTAGCCTGACCTCTATATCAGGGGGGCCCTGAAGTTTCCAGTGCTCTCTCCTTGCAGAAATTTATAAACATGAACTGTATGGTGGTTCAATGCCTGTCACCCCAGCCCTTTGTGAGGCTGAGGCGGGAGGATGCCAAGTTGGAGCTCAGCGTGGGCAACTTAAGAGATCCTGTCTCAAAATTTAAAAAAGAGCCAGGAGTGTGGCTCAGTGAGTGGTGAGCACTTACTTAGCATGTGCCAGGCCCTGGGCTTCATCCCAGCACCGCACTCCCACCCACGGCAAACTCTGGCTTCTTTCAGATCAGGATCTCTCAGGATTCCTAACGCGGAGACCCCAGGGTTGTGCAGACGCAGAGCGCGGCCTTACCAGGAGCTGCTCTGGCAGCCGTGCAGCGATTCTGCATAGCAGTGCGCGTGTGGGCTTCTGGGAGCACAGCAGGGTCAGCCGCACGTTCCTGTCGCCCCGCAGGACCAGGCCCTTGGCCAGGATGCCGACCCGCATGACACCCTTCAGGATCCGCGGAGAGGACGCCAGGCTGTGAGGGCAGAGCGAGACGCTGGCCTTGGGCAAGGGGTCAGAGACATCGGGGACAAGGGGACTGGTAACACCCTGAGCTACCTTATGCCTCGTTTGTTTCTTCCTTCCCTCCCTCCCTCTTTTTGTGGTGGTGGTGGGGAATGAACCCCTGTGAAGGCACTGAGCTACATCCCCAGCCCCTCTCCTTTTAATTTTGAGACACGGTCTTGCTAAATTTCCCAGGCTGGGCTTGAATTTGAGATCCTCCTGCCTCAGCCTCTCAGAGCGCTAGGATTCCTTATTTGTAAAATGGGACCAAGACCCTTGGTCAAAGGCACTTGGCAGGAGGAAATCAAACTGATACAGCCATCCCTCTAAAGAGAAAATGGGAAGGACTTGAAAAGCCAACTCCTTCAGGGATGATAAAGCATATGACAATTAATTACAGCTCGAGGGACCTTTCTGCACCTCAGGATGGTGATTCACACAGATCTGGGTGACATTCTGTTCTCCGATTACTCAGCTGTCCTGTGAGGTGGGAGAGTTGGCTCAGAATCACACTTAAGTTTCCTGGAGCTTATGGGAAACCAGGTTCATGGCACTGACATTTTTCCTTTTTTTGTGTGTGGTGCTGGGGATGGAACCCAGGGCCTCCCACATGCTAGGCAAGTGCTTGGCATTGAGCAACAACCCCAGATCTTTACATTCCTTTTTAAAAATTTTTTTTTGGTACCGGGATCGAACTTGGGCCCTTGTGCTTGCGAGGCAGGAGCCAGAACCACTGAGCTAAATCCCCGGCCCCTTTTTTAAATTTTTGAGACATGATTTTTGCTAAGTCTCCCAGATTGGCCTCAGATTTGAAATCCTCCCACCTCAGCCTCCTGAATGCTGGGATGACAGGTGTGTGCCACCACACCCAGCTAGGACTTTCTCCTCTGAGGGCTGTGAGCCTGCAGCCACCACTCCGGCCGCTGTGGGCCCAGCAGCCACTTCTGTTCCCCACCTGGCCCTCCGCCCAGGGGACAGGGGCGGCTCTACTACCTGCACTCCTCCCCCAAACTCTCAGAGTCCTCCTCGGTCATCAGGTCAGACACCAGCCTGAGGGCCCTCTCCGCATGCGACACGGCCTTCTGGATGGCCTGCAGTTCCGCTTCCGTGGGGTAGATGGCCGCGTGCTTGCACATGACGTGGCGGTCATCACTGGTCTCCGGCCGCCGCTTGGCCTGTGGGGAGAGGCGGCCCTCGTCCAGCGGGGCTGAGGGGACTCGGGGTGGGGACAGTGGGTGTGAGATGAGGTCCCCTCCACACGACGCCCTGGGGCTGTGGGAGGCTGGGATGTGGGGAGGTCGCGCTGACCTGGGCCTGGGCTGCCAGTGGTGTCTTTGGTCTGTCCGCGGGGGACGGAAGGGCCCAGGCGGGGGAAGAGAAGGGCTGCTCCTCATCCTGGGGCCTCGGCTCCTTCTTCTGGTCCCTGTAGTGCACCTCGTGGGGCCTGGGGACCAGAGGACACAGGGCTGTGAGGCCACCAGGAGACGAGGCTGAGGGGCCGCTGCCCTGGGGACTGTGCCCAGCGCCCCCGCCCCCGCCACTTCATAAATCAGGTACTGGGTGGGAGATGCCCTGGAGGTTCGAGGTGCAGGAGGACATGACAAAGTGAGCCGTTGGTTGGGGACTCGGTGATCAGGTCAGGGATGAGAGGTTGGGGACACATCGGACCACACGGGTCGGGGGACACGGGGCCGAGGGCCACCTCCCCGGTAGTCTGCCATCCTTCGGGCAGGGTGGTGACACGGCCCCCCACTGCGGGCGGGACAGCGACCCTGAGCTGCAGGG